TGCACCAATGGCGATGGTACAAAACAATAAGGAAACGTTGTTACGAGTATCGGAATAAGAACCAATGATTAGATGTTATGCTTAAAATGTAGTATCATTGGTTTCAACGTGTTAGATAGAACAAAGTAGTGTTTTTGTGTTAGTCTCGAATACCAATGAGTGAGTGAGCGTTTGATAGCTATTTGTGGATTCGCAAGTTGAACGTGTTTTGTTTTTGACGTCATTTCTGCCACCTCTACCCGGTTAGTTTTACCTCTCAGAGCCGGGTGGCCTTAGTATTGGGCTGGCAGTTGTAAGATAAGTATCTCCTCTCCTATTGTATATTTCTAGTAGTATACTGTGTTAACCTTGCTCGACTTTTGAGAACACCAAGTATTACATAGTGATTTATATGTGAGACTGTGTGTAGTCATACTGTAGAATTCAACGGTTAATACCTTACTTGTTTGAGTTACGTGTGTTGGATAACCACGTTGTTTAATCATTACGTTGATGTTCGTTATTTTGTCACTCGGTTGAGTAGTTCATTTGTTCAGTTTTAATATGTATTTATTTATTTTTGTACATACGGTTATACTTCTTGTTTGTTTATTTGTTAATATAGTTGGTAATTAAACCCACTGCATGATTTTCAATATACCCCATAGTAATGAGGTGATAATTTGGTGGGATCTATTCCTGGACCTATAGTACAAAGTGTAATTTGTGAATTTGTGATATTGTTACACCCTTAAGAGGCCCAAGGGTCGTAACAACGTTTATGGCCTGAGGAACTGTCATAACAGGTGGTACAAGTTATCTCCCTCACCTTTTGCCGGCAACAGGTTCTTTACATCTTCAAGGGCCTTCTTCACCTCCCCCTGGTTGGTAATGTCCATCTGCAGGACGTGGAGGCGGCTGGAGCCCCCCTTCCGTAGACGCTCCGCCCCCTCGCCTCCGGATTTGAGGACACAGGCAAATACTCGGACACCCTGACCCCGGGAGTAAGGGTGATTAATATAAATACTGCAATTTCATAGATAGGTAGTTATTTAGTGAAACTGTCATACGTTTACAGTTAGTTTAGCAAGTATATATAACAATGCGGGTATACATTTAAGCCTACACATATATATTGACAGCGCAAGTACCGTATACATAGACCATGTTTTAAGGGCGGGGATTTTCTTCTTTTCCTTTATTCTTATTTCATACTTCTCTCTTTCTTAGTTACTTCATTTGTTCTGTAAAAATAATTTAATTTCATGGTTACTTCGTAACCTCAGTCTTTTGGTAGCATGGCGGGGGTTAGGGCACAAATGGGTACTGTAATTCTTGTATCAAGCCATTGGACAAAATAAAGGTGAATACTGAGGGAGAACGATACCCCTAATATACTCTTAAGAAATGGTTTATTAATATGAAATTAAATTAGGTAGAAGATGTCATTAACATAAAACTACAAGGTCCAACTCCTTGGCTTTACTCATCTGCAATTCCACTTTGATACTCTGGCTTCTTACAACATTACTGGTGGTACATTACGTAGACTACACCACATGACAAACTTACATATGGTACCTTCACTAGAACTGTTGTTATCAAGAAGCGCTCAACACACTGACCCTTTCGACTCTCACTGACCATCACCACGACCTCATCTGCAAATTTGGTAAGAAGCTTCTACACCATCCTCGACACCCGCTCCTACTACCACCTGAGATCCCTAGTCCGAGAATTGCTGTTCGACACCACAACCGCATCCAGCCCATATGTGCACGAACTGATCGCTATAAGAACAGCCCAGTCCCAACCATTGTAAAAATTATCAATAACTTGTAATAAACCAGTGTATTCACTCCCAGTAAACACTACTCCTTGCACTGTCACTATGTTGAAATGAACTGTAGTTTGAGCTTTTCCCCGTCTAGTTATTATATGTCTTATTTGTGTCACTTATGTTACTTGTATATTATTTGTAATTCGAAACCCATTCCCCAAATATGTAACTGTATATTTTCAGCCTTCTGGCTGCCAAGCTCTTTCAATAAACCGTTAATTATTATTATTATTAGTACATATGGAGGATGCACTCACAACACATAACATGTGAATACTGATACCAACAATTTTTATGGGTTCACTACCCAACATGGGATAATTATTTCCAGTTAATTATCCCCAATCATATACAACAAATACTGTGGACCATATAGCTGTACGGAGTGTCCTAGGGTAGAACCCTGGCGTCTCAACAAATGAAGATCGCTGTTATGGTCGGTTGAAGTCTGACACGTGGCGAGAGTCTGGGGTCTAGTTCCCAGGACTGGAGCATTTCAATCCTGCCGAATCAGCAACATCGTTCACTACAGCTAACTGTTAGGTATCCACCGACCCCGGGCAGCCGCAATGACAGAAATTACATTCAAATCAGCTGCTACACATTCAAAGATGACCCTTAGTTGACACGGGTCTGGCGAATTTCTTAAGTTGAATTACATAAACTAATTCGAGATTGGGCTTCCCAGGAAAAAGTGAAATACATACGTTGACAACTGAAGTACCCCAAATGGGCGGGACTTACGGAGAGGGAAAACGCGTTTCTTCCTAGGGATAACTCCCCAGTTATCCGCATGTTTTGCGGGCGTGGAGTATAATATGAATTATCAGATTTCAAGCGAACCAGCCGTCATCGTGACCATGACACTGTATGTATAAAATTTCCAGTGCTGTACCTAAACAGTGTAGGTATACAAATAATTGTAAACAGTAGATCAATTTGATAAAAGATGTCCCAAAAGGCCATCAGATGTTTGTTTCCGATTTTAAAGTCATTTTGGCAATGTTCCGTTTTCTGCTATTTTATTTTTCTTGCAAATTTCCAAATCATTCCCTTCCTTACTTTAGGTTTCTGTACTTCATGATAAACTCCACACACGTGAAAATAAAAAGATGAGAGTACATAGTTAAATACACAAACACCATACACACCCACACCATTCACACACACACACCATTCACACACACACACACACAATACATATACACACACACTACACAAACACCATACAGAAACATACTCGTATAAAGCAAGAAGCACATCTGAAGGTTGTTGGTGGCTACTGACCATTTTATCCAAGTGTAGTGCAAGGGCATGACCGAAGCCCGTGTCACAGCCTGTTATGAGCACAGCCTTCCTTGACATTGGGACCTGCAACAGAAAAGGGTAATGGTCAGCGGTGTCACTCTTCACAAGGACCCAGACAATAAATGTCCCCGTAACAAAATTGCACCCTAAAAGATCGCCAGGAAAATAGTGTATTTTTCACATAAATTCATCCTAAATAGTTAAAATACACGGGAAATGATTGTAATACGAGCTCATTTCAATAAGTCCATCGTTATGTATGCAAAATGAGTTGGGGTACATTTGGGAAACGAAATAAGCCTATGCTTACCCGGTTCATTTGTCTACTGTAAGGTGGAAAGCATTTGTGCATTGGCATTATTGACGTATGGATAAAAACGTAATGATTGCTATTTGAGAACTGAAAGAGAGATTTCCAATTTCTAAACGAAACCTGGAAATATGTTAAGGTTTATGTGAAGTGTATTTGAAACCTTTCAACGCTCTAAACTTAAAATAGACCCTAGTTAGACAGGTGAAGCATTTATTATATACGAGACACTGACCTTCATACTTGCTAGAGCCAAGTAGATGAGAGAAGACAGGAGCCAGGCAAGAGGGAATGTCACACAACAGGAGCAGAGACCCAGCAGGTTCAGTAGGGTGGCCAGGAGGGCACTCACGCAGCCCCAGAAGAGCACCCGGCTAATCTTGTCGTACGTCAGAAACATTTTGGCGGTGGTGTCCGACCTGGGAGGAGCACTTCAAGCTGCAATAAATTTCACTGCCATTATATTGTATTAAAACTTGACCTAACGACTTTTCAAAGCTATATTCCAGCCATCTTGTTATTCAGTGTCCACACGTGGGAAAATGTTGAACATGGACCCAATAGGACCCACAATCAAAACTTGGCGCTTGTATCAACTGTATCTTTAACACAGCAAAATGTATTTAAGCCGCCAGACTATTAGATTTAAGAACATTTATTCCCACGAAATAAAACTCCAGTTAATATATAGGTGTTATTTCAATTTCAGTCACTTAGGAAACAGTGAAACTTGCCTCACAGTCAAACTGGACAACAGATGGTACTGACTTGTCTTCTCAGGATTTCCCCTTGGCAGACTGAGGTAACAATGAAGTCATTCCCTTGAAATTATCCATTAAAAGACTAAATTAGTACACTAGAGTGAGCCCGTATTATGCACAGGGTTTTGGGCAAAATAATAAACACAGTCAGCTGTACTACTTGCACAATGAATGTTTAACTTACCTGGGCGGAGGAGAGAGTCTGGGTGGCGGCTGTGCTGCCAGGGTGTGGTTCAAGGCTGCTCCGCTCTCTGCCCCGCAACCAACACTTGTATAAAAATCCACCAATACACTCTTTCTCTTTTTGTTTGGTTTGATATCATATCTCAGTAATCGTTTCTTCTCTGATGCTTTGATAAAATTTATTTCGTTTATTGACATGGAAATATAAGTAATATAAAATACAACCACCAGCTGAAGTATATTGTTTGTAATAGAGGAAAAATTGTTTGTCTAATTCTTCTAATGAAATATTATGTTAGTTACGCAATTGGGTGAGGATGAAGCA